AAGAAAAGATTTATGAAAAATTTGTTAAACAAAAGGCTCAAAATGTTCAGAATACTAACCCAGGCAAACGCAGCATAAATACATCTCAATCAACTAGCGTCGTGACGAACACGTCAACTAACGTCGCGACGAACACTCAACAACAATCGATGGAAATTGATGACGCAGATCTATCGGTAATGGAATCGCAAGTTGGAGATACACCACTAATAAAATCACAAATTGATGGTGTGCATTCATCATCAGTAGGCAAATCTAAGCCAATCGAGGATAATTCAATTATAGTTATATCAGACGAAGAAGATGATAAACCGAAAGATGGTGATCATGGTGGAGATAAAGATAAACTGTTCCGTCTTTATTCTCACAAGCTTCATATTCGAAAACCACGTGTGCCTTATTCCAGAATTAGCTTTGATGATTCCGGTATTTTTTCCGATTCAGATGAATTTGCTTAAACATCACGGTAGGGTTGCGATCCAAACCTTTTTTGGAATGATCTAATTTGGGTTTGGAAATCGGTATTTCTACTTCATTTGGCATAACCATAATAACAAAAACTCATTTTCGGTCAGTAATATCAATTTCAAAAACGGTCAAATTTATTCAATGTTATAAATTATTAAAATTTCATTTTTCATTTTCAAATTAAGAGTCTAAGCAGGATTGTTGAATAAATTGATATATTAGATCTAATAGTTATACCGGAAATGTATAAAATAATTAGAGAAGTGAAGGTTTTCATATCCAGAATAAAACTTTGAATTATAAGTAATAAACTTTTCGATCAAGTTTCTCTGAAATTCGAGAGTTTTAGAAAGTAAGAACCCTTAATAAAAGTTGATCTCTTTATCAGTTATCTTCATTGTTAATTAATAAATGAACTACTAGCTCCTGTGAACTGTTCCTGTAATGATTAAATATAATTAATACGCGTAAAGTTGATTTACACTAGCCGCCTCTGTTCGAATTTGATACAATATTTGAATTTAACCAATTAAATTTAATGAAAATAATTTGATTTTGACTAGAGGTGTCGAACAAACTCGGACAAAGGCTCAAATAAAAATTACAATCCCAAATCTCAAGCAAATAAACCTGCTATTATATATAATAATTGTTCGGTTTCCTTACTGTAGCGATAGATGCATAAATGATTTTTATTTGAAATTTTTGAAAATTTGACATTCGGGTTTGATCAGTTTGACTATTGGGATTACTACAGTAACTACTATTGTCAAAATTCACGGGTTTGTTCGACACCCCTAAATTTTGACAATAAACTCTGTCATACATTTGCGTTAATTTGAATCTTAGCTTATTAATTAATTAACATTCATCATAACTTGTTTTATAATTTAGTCGAATTATTTACAAATCACGCAGATAAGATAAAAAACCAAAAAATATTATAGTTGATAGACATGTGGAAAATGTACACATCGTATTGAAGATATTTTTCTTAAAATCAAACAAGCACTTGAGCACAATAATACTTGATGGTTCGTGTATTCTCATAAAATTACCCTTCATTTTTTCGCGTACCATCCAACTAAATCGTAGAAATACAAAGCCAAATCACCTTCACAAAATATTTTAATTTTAGTAGTCTTTATAACGAGTGCTGCCAAAGAAAGCGAGATCAACTTATTTCGTAAGTTTAATAAAAACTTACGAGTTTTTCTCTTCGTATTTAAAGTGAATAACAGCAAATCATTACTTTAATAAGGCTTTATTGTAACGAGATTTTTTTTAGATCTACGTATCAATAATCCTACTAATATTTTAAAATCGTAGGAGTCACATGGTGTAACGTTTAGATTACTCGTATAAATAAATTTTTTG